GCTGGACGCTACTGCCTCGGCCACCAGCTGCAAGGAGGGCGACTACGTCTGTTCCTGCGAGCCCGCCAACAAGTCTGCCATCCAGGCCGCCGCCACTGGCTGCGTCGTTGGAGCCTGCGGTGCCGACGTTGCTCTGAGTATGTCTACATTTATACTCATGTACCACCAAAGTAATATCATCAGAAGACTAACCTCACTTTCTCAACAGACCAGGTCCTTCCCGCCTCCGACAAGCTTTGCGCCGCCGCTTCGGCCGGCTCTGGCATGTCCGCCTCAGCTTCCGCCTCCTCCTCGGCCGCCGCCTCCTCGGCTGCCTCTGCTGCCTCCTCGGTTCCCCCCGCTAGCATGCCCTCCGTTGCCAGCACCACGGCCGTGACCGTCACTGCATCGCCCTCCGCCAGCAGTGTTGTCGTCACCTCTACTCGCGCCAGCAACGGCACCGCCTCTGCCTCTGGCACCGCTTCCGGTACCGCTGCCGCTACCACCTCCGCCGTCCAGGCTGGCGCTGCTGGCCTTGCCCCCGTCGGCGGCCTTGCGATGCTGGTTCTCGGTGCTCTTGCCATCTAAGCTACCAGGCAACTGGAGACATAGCTCTTGGAAGTAGAGCTCGCCCGGAGTTGTCGGTAAAGATGAAGGGTCCGACTCTTTGTACATTCATGAGAAAAGTCGGGATGAAATGATTCATGGTTGATGGTGGATGCCTGAAGCATATGCACCACCATATGGAGGTTTATTGCCCGGAGTCATGTGTTTGACATCGGGCATGTAGTTCAAGTTAAAAGCAATACAAGTTTTTTAATATCATCACTCTGTCTTCATTGTCTCCAAAGTTAAGCCTAATGTCGATTACTATAAAATTCCTGAGCAGGCCTGAAACCGCGTTAGAGGCACCAAAATACAACTGTCCATGCTAAAATCATTGGCATCAAGATCTTGTTGGCTAGAGGTCCAACGATAGGTGACCCCGAGCTATGCGGGGTGTTCATGAGAATGTTTGCCTGTTTGCTGACATCCGGGCACTTGCCATCGAGAAGATCCTGCATGCTAGACCTCTTTCCCACGGCCGCTTTCCCGTCTGGCATGCACTCTCCCGCCTCATACCCGCGCCTGAATTCGAGCGCATTGGCAAACATCCGCGCCTTCTGATCAGTGGTGAATCCGTTCTGCGGGATTTTGCCACGGCACGAGGAGTACTGTTTTTCAACCGAAAGCTATCCGTTAGTGCTCTTCTTTGAGTCCAATATAAGGGTGGCAGGGCACTTACACTCATGTAGTTATTTATCTCAACTGCTAGGCCACCAACGCATGTTACCTGCGAGCATTGATAAACCACGTCACGATTACCCGAGGTCTGGGTCGCGTTGGTCAATCCGTCTTGAATAATACATTCCTGGCCGATCTCGTTAAATGTATGACCGAGACCGAACCAGTGGCCAACATCGTGAACGAGTGTTGTAGCATCGCCCCCCTGAACATGCGCTTCTTCAATTACGATGCCGTCTGCTTCATCGAGCTGCTGGTTTGGAAACGTGACGTACTATACATGATGAGAATCAAGAGTTAATCGTTGTTCCACTTCGTGATCAGGTCGTTGTGATGGTCTTACGCTGTTCAGTTCCTGGTCGTCCTTCTCGCTGCTTCGCAACCCATTGACAATCCAAACGGTCAATGTCAGCTTTCCAGGCGCGCGTGTCCGGCGTTGCCAATCTAATAATTTAGCCTCGCGTCTAGTAACTCTTGACCAGTCCTCATTTGCCTTTGGCTCCCACCAATTGAGTGCCATAAAGCGGAAATTGATCCTCACTGCCCCCAAAGCCTCGTTCAGGACATCGATCTACGCCCCTTTAGCCCCAATACTATGACCATCTCTATGATAGATCGGTAGGAGCTTACCTGTGCTTTGACCCTCGACTCCAGCTCGTTTGGTCTATCTGCAGTCGAAGAGGCTCTCATGTACTGAAAATATACTCCAACTTCCATAGAGTCAACTGCTTTGCAATTACTAAAGCCTCGGAGGTCCCGTGATACTAGTGGTATCCAGTCGAATACGTCGTCAACAAAGGCCTTTCTTCTTGCCAATCTCTGAGAGTACAAATTTTGGCACTCGGAAATATTGGCTGGGATGGAGATTTTCCCCATGTCGACAGGCGCAGGATCCTTTTTGGCAAAGTACTCAAAATACGCCGTCTCGAGGATCGCAAGCGCCCGGGCATTATTATTATTTATCGACTTTGCCGGAACATTGACATTGAGCTCAGCTTGAAACTGCTCAATCGTTGATTTATCGGGAGGTGTGGCCACTTGAGACTCCGGGACCGCCAGAATTGCTGTCTCATTGACGCCTTGGAAGCTGTCCGATGGTTGAGCGGCAAAAGAGGCCGTAGTAGCTAGCTCTGGCGACGAGATTGTATAAGTAGCTTGACCGGCACCAAGAGAGCCAGTTCGAGACCTTTTTAATTTAGTAAGAATTGCCAAGGTATCAAGAAGCGCTTACACTTGAGTCGATGCAACATTGCCCGGGTCATCAACTGCCTGGGTGCCTGACGCTTGAGGGGCACCATTCCCAGTGGTTCCTGATCCCTGGACCTGGACCAACGTAGAGCTATCAGGACCCCTAGGACCGCTGGATTGCGTCTGAGAGCTGCGCTGTGCTGGATTCGAGTTTGGAATACTTGCTGATGCTCCGCCGGTTTGTACAACTACTCTAGATGAAGCTGCCTCCCTCGAGTTTGTTATCTCTCTCGAAGGAACCGCTTGACCCGACACGCTGACTCGGACCGAAGACGCTACTTCTTTGGAAGAATTGGGAGAAGCAGGCACAGCAGATGATGCAGAAGCAGCCTTAGATGTAACCTCCGCATTCGCGGACGAGGACTTGACGATTTGGATAGAAGGCTGCGCTGAACTTGGGCGAGCTTCTGATGCGGGTGGTCTTGCTACGGAAGAAGCCTCTGGCGGTGTGTTGGGCTTGGTGCTTACGGATGGAGAAGCGGGTGGTTCTATATGCTCTCATGTCAGCAAACTCCTGCACAACAAGAAATCAAGCAGCGAGTCCGCTTTAAGGGATTTTCACTATTTGTACTGACCTGGAGAGCTGACCGGCACCGGTGGCCTGGCGATAGAAGATGCCGGGGCATCAGAAGTTGACAGGTCGCTGAAGTTTTGCGCAGACGCCCAGGATATTAGTCCAGACAGGAGACAGATGAAGGCGAGGAATCTCATATTGAAGTCAACTCCAATTTACTGCAACGATTGTTGTCAATATTGAATTTGGGCAGAGACTATCCAAGATTGGGAAGACCAGGCCGATAATTATTATACATTTCAACTTCTGAAGGAACTCGCTTGAGCTACCCAAAACCGTTTGAGAGGGTCTCTTCTACCAGATGGCTGGAATACGCCACGCTCGCTGCTAGCAGAGTAAGGTTGGATGCATTCAGCATTTTGATTCATACATGCGGGGAAAGCTGGCAGCTTGGGTAGCTGAACGAGCTGAACAGCTTCTGCCAAGCTTGTCTCTTTGAGCCACAAACGTTGGCGGGGGTTCAGCCGCAATGCTTCGATCCATCTCCGAAGCCGTCTGTTGTGATAAGCGGATTCGACAGCTTCCCCGTATGGATACTGATGTCTTGAGATATCTAGACAAAAGCTTCCTGCAGCTATTATTCTGTAAGACAACTAGGGCAAATGCTCCAACCGTGTTAAATTCACTCCACAGAGCTGCCGGTCAACTTAGCAGAAGTGGCAAATGGTGGTTGAAGGCAAATATGTCGTAATTGATGTTTCAATGCTATGTGTTGCCTCATTACAGTTAGCCAGGGACGGCCTCAATAAGCTGTATTCCGCAAAGTTTGGCTGGATGCTTCATTACCGGCGAGAAACACTCGAATGAAGCTGCCTTGTCAGGCGTGGAATGCATCCTTTTCATTCACATATTGACGCTGTTGCGCCACAGCATCCACTCACACGAATCCTAAGGAGCGTATTAGATGTTTGCGGCAGTCGTGTGCTACTCCAACACCTACTACCGAATATTGAGCCATCCTAGAGCCTAGACTTGCGCCAAGGCAGACAACTGAGGCCTCTCCTCGTCCGCGTGACATTTTTGCCAGGCATACCGGTAACACCAGCTGCGCTTTCAGACAGGCAGATAACATACTTAGCGCATCTTTAGCTTTGAGTTTAATTTTCTTAGCCTTCATAACTGCCGCCATGGCTCAGCCCTAGGACTGAGACATTGAAGTTTTGGGACAGACTGAATTTCGGATCGAGGAACTGGATTATTTCCACCACGATCCACGCCCGGGGAAGAGAGTAGAAGACATTTTAGTGAGCTGAGTAATGAAGGACACCAATGAGAACCCGCGATGGCGACCAAGGAGAGGAAATGCGGGCGCGCGTTCGTTCCCAAAGGTGGCGAGACAAATTTGCGGCAGCTCACAGAACCGACCGGAGCGCTGGAGTTCCTGCACCTACTCATACATATGCCCGTTCGCGTGAATTTCATTCACTTGAACTTTATGTACAGACATCGAGTGACGTGAAACATTGCAATGATGCCTACGACGTCCAATAACGCCTGAGTCACCTATCCAACTAATTGATCTCCTTCATAAACACTAAAGTAACGTGAAAGTGGTGTTCATTAATGAATTGTTGACGGATCAGACGTAGTTGTAGCACGAAGCTAGCCGCGTTACTCGAGGAATAAAAACCGCTTTTACTCCAGCTCTGGCATTTAGCACTGCTCGTGTTACACATTTAGTATTGAGTATCATCCAAGTGATTACGTAGTTGACCCCATTCCACTTTTGCTGTCCATCTTGTGCCATCAAATAATATCTTCAAATGCCCTTACATAAAAGAAGTCTAAACGAAAGTCAAGAAGAGAAACATCAGCTTTGTACTCCAACCCCCTAATCCCCCTCATATCAGTCTATCAGGCCAGATCAAACTGGACGTTAACACCAGAAGTGTCGTAAATTTGTACACGACGGAAACTACATCCTCAGAGCCCGGCGACGGCCGAACTCATATCCACCATAGATGGTAGACGCCGAAGTGTACTCATCAGACTTGCGAGTCTCAAAGGTAGTCGGGGTGGGCGATACCTCTGAAACGGAGGGGCTCACCAGGGACGGTCGAGCACTGGCCACGGTGGTGCCGAGATACTCGGTCGACGTCGTCTCCTCCGATGCCTTGGAAGATGGAGAGGGAGGATAGTCGTAACCACCAGGGATGCTGCTGGCAGTTGGGCTGATCAGAGTCGGAAGAGCACTCGAGACGGTGATACCCAAGGATGAGGTTGGAGCTGGGTATTGGGTGTCGTAGCCTCCTGGGATATCCGAAGTGCTGCTAGAAACGAGTGTCGGCTTGGCGCTGCCTACAGTAGTTCCCGGCGATACGGCGGACTCCTTGGTGGAGGGAGGGTAATCGTATCCGCCAGAAACGCTGCTCAAAGTTGCTGTACCTGTGGGTGTGACGAGAGTGGGGAGAGCGCTGGAGACTGTAAAGCCCGGTGAAGAAGTGGAAGGAGGGGAATGATACGACGACACAGACGTGAAGGTGGATTGCTCGTGAGTTGTGCAAGGTTCTTTGTATGCAGTAGAGGGGGTACTGCTCCCGAGAGAGGTAAGACTAGTGTTGGACAAGCTAAGTGCGGTGGTGGTAGGGTAGCTGAGCGTGGTAGAAAGCCGAATGGAGGTCGGTGATGAAACAGATGGAACGCCACTGGAGACTCCTGTACCGCGAATAGTTGACGAGTAGGCAGTACCGGTGCTGAGAGGCACAGTTTTCGTGAGGGTGACGACAACCGTAGTCCTCTTGGTGGTGTAAGACGTGGAGAGAGAGTGTGTGGACGCTCCGGGATGCTGAGACGAGACAGTGGTGTTGAAGACTGACGTCGTGGTGAGAGTGGTCAATGAATAGGAAATAGGGGGGGCGATGCTCGATTCAGATCGGGTGGAGAAAGATGGCAGAGGAGGGATGCTTATCGTAGGGATGCTTGGGATGCTTTGGGTCGAAACTTTCGAAGAAGTGGACGAGCCTGTGTCGGTGGTGCGGATGGTCTTGGTGACGGTGCGAGTGACATGAGTGCGGGTAGAGTTTGTCCAGAGGCTCGAGGAAGAGCCAGTGGTAACACTCGTGCCAGCAGTGCCAGTACCGTGACTGTAAGAGCTGGAGAGACTGAGAGTTCTGGGATATCAGATAAGAACAATTCTAACTGCGAAAGGATGTCAACTTACGACGTAGCATTAACTGTCCAGGTGAGAGAGGAGCTCGGAGTGCCAGCACTAGGCAGCTGGGAGGAGACCGTGACTCGCGTAGTTGGAGTCCACGATGATACTGCTCCAGTGACTTCAGAAGAAGTGCTAGAGCCGACCGAGGTGGACGAGTTGGTGTAACCGGGGGACGTAGCCGTAGGAGGGAGAATACTAGATGACAAGAATGTGGAACTCAAGCTTCCTGGAATGCTCGTAGTGGAAGGCTCGCATGTGTGCATGTACGGAGGCGTCACAGTCAAGGTCTCTGTGAAAGTCACGGTACTGGCACACTGAGAGCCACAAGCAGTGACAGTGACAGTGACCGTCGCCGGAGGATGCGGGATGAGGTAATTGTTGGCGTTGGGAGGGATGGCGTTCACCAGAGAGGCACTGCAAAGTCAGGTCAGCAATAGTCGAGAGGACATGATTGAAGTCTCACCCAAGGCCCAACAGGGCGAAGTGAAGAGCGATAGGGGCCATGAAGGGCAGAGAACTGGGAGTATTAAACGAGTGTGATGTCGCAACAGCTAGTGCTTGCTGGTTTGAGATGAGAAAAGTAAAGCTCCAATACCCCTCTACGTCCGGACAGCTTTATATCAAGAACGCCATTCTGTGTGCACCAATTCCGGATGGCACAGCAGACAACCCAGAATAATCTCGATTGCAACGCCGACGGGAGGGTCGGCAGATATCCTTGTCACAGAAGCCGCTGCCTCGGCCTAGAACGTCCTTCGGCGAGGCTTTTCATGCAGGGCGCCGCTGAGAGCCAACAACACAGCAATCGGTTCAGGTGTCTCGAAACTGAATTCTCAAGCTAAATAGAACTCGCAGGCTTGCCTTCGTGGTTGTTTGAAGCGAGATCGCACAAACCGCAACGTTCGAGTTACGTTGTTGCCACACGGGTCGAGGAGATGGGTACCTATGTGATCTCATTTGGGTCAGGCCTTCAATATTCTTTGACAAGACCACTTGGCTTCCACGTATAATGACTTCAGCCGAACGTATACGGGACTGTTGGAAAGGAAAGCCATGTAGTTTAGCATTCGTACGCAACGTTTGAGTGCCACGATACAACGTGGGAGGCTACATAGCTCATGGGGGCTCTCGAGCTGGCACTTCATGAGGCAACGTCCGTTTGCCGGTAGAGTTCGGAAGACAAAATCAATGCTCATGTCTTCTCTAGTCAACTGGAAACATTTGAAGGCAATCAAGAGCGACGAGGAAACAGACTCGCGTTGATGAGCACGGCTGCAGATTCCCTCGTTGCGGCTGCAGGTGTCCGTCCCACACAATCTCCGGCAGAAAACCCGCATGGTCAAAGAATATCATATGAGAAAAACAGGCAAGAGACACAGACTTAAGGTTGAAGCATCGAAATGCGATTTTTTGTTTGATCTGCGTGTTTTGGAGGGCACATCTACGCAAACCTGACGTCTTCCTCGCCCCGAATTGTGGAATATTTGAAACCTCGAGCTATTCCAAAGGCCTGGAATCACTATTCTCTTAGGATTCCCCAGCACGACAGATGCCGTACTTACCATCACACATGAGATGCTACCGCAGGTAAAGACCTCTTTTTTCAATATTGTTTTTTCTCCTTTTACGTTGGCTTCCAACGAGATGGTGTAACGCCAGAGCCAATGCACGCGTTACGTGTGTGCATGCTTGCATTGACGTAGCTGCGGCTTTCCGACCCTTCAGGGGGGGCCGACCAAACATGCAGTGCCTGTCCCCTTCACAACGATATGAAGTTCACGCCTTGTGTCCTTGGTTGCAGAACCAGAGAACGCACATTCGAAGAGGTTCCATTTAGATATTGAGAAAAACATCTCATGTTACTTATAGTAATATGGGGGAGGTGCGTCCTGCAGATGGACGTGCAAGACGTACAGTCAAATCCGGTAGACTTGACAGTCTTGTCACACGTTGATTGCGGAAGTAGGCACACAAGGGCTGTGCGAATGCCACGCCGGGTTGAAGGGAGGAAGCACGTTTGTCTGGAAGTTTCCGTTACAAAAGTAAAGTCGGAAGTTTCTTAATCGGCCGAAGGCGGGAGTCATCGTCGCCGCTTTGGAAGGGCCAGCGAAGCTTCGCGTTTTGTTTGCACTTCATCTCGGGTTGTGTTGGCCGTCTCACACCCGTTGATGTTTGTCCTTGTTGGTACTCGGAGATTTGGATGAGCGGCTGGACTCGGGTATGGTCCCTCTACAACACACCTTGTTCTGCACGAGATGTTTTGTTTGACCAAAGTCTGCCCCCACCTGTCGCCGACGGTATTGCCTGGATGCGTGGTCCGAGGCGTTCGAAGTTACGGTTGTGCGCCACATCACCGACGACAGGGGGCCTGAATCATTGATCATCGCACAATACGACCAAGCTGGCAATCTGCATAGAGCAGAGTAATGTTCACATACAGAGCGACAACACGTATCTGAGACTGTCTTAAGCTCTGCACAGTTTGGAGAGGCATCACTGCCAAGCTCTTACACGGTTGCAGGTTACACGACCGGGTAAGGAGCTGGAAGGCGGCCACATTGCGGCACCTATGTCTACGTTTCGTTTGTACCCAGCCGCTTGATTAATCGTGGCAGATCCCACTGGAATAGATGAAAGATGAAGTGCATGATGCGGCGGCCTCGCACTCTGCGGGAGTGCCTGCGCCTCTTCGTCTCCGAGCAAACAACTTTGGGATAAAGATGTGCAGTCTATTCACAGCATCGCGCCTCAACTCGGTATAATCTCCATCATGACATGCTATTCTCAGAGGACCGCCTTCAACGCCTTGAATGCGTCATCTCGACTGCCCGAGAACCTGAGCTCCGAGGTCTTCCAGTTAATGACGTTCCAAATATTCTCCACGTACGCCGCCTTTCCGTTAAGGTACTATTACCATCCTTGATTAGTCTACCAGAGTCTCAAGTACACACTCTCATTGGTGGGGACGAACCTGTAGGTAGTACGCGTGCTCCCACATGTCGACACCAAAGATGGGCACACCCTTCGTGACGGGGTCCTGATCCTTGGTGGTAACGATACCGAGGCCGGTAACATCGTCCTTGACCAGCCAACCCCAGCCGCTGCCGGTGATCCCCAACAGAGCGGTGTTAAAGGCCGCTTTGAAATGATCGAGGCTACCCCAGATACGAGTAATCTCGGCGATCAGCTTCGGTGCCGCATCGGGCGAAGCATCCGGGCTTGAAGCCGGGGAGAGGTTCTCCCAGAAGAGAGAGTGGTTGATATGGCCACCGCCGTGAAAATTGAGAGCCGCGAGGACCACGAATCGACTTTGGAGAGGGTTTACGTTGTAGGTCTCGATGGCTTTGTTCAAGTTCGTGACGTATGTTTGGTGACTGTTTAATTCAACAGTTAGTAGGTTACGCGCACTCCGATTCTCCTCGACACGATAGGGCTTACTGTTTGCTGTGGTGTAGCTCCATGATTTGAGCCGAGATATGGGGCTCGAGAGCCTGGGAATGAGATTAGCAGGCAGTAGCTTCATCGAGCAGTGCTGGGAACGAACATCATAAGCGTAGGGGAGCTTGGGTAGCGTGTACTGCGCGCTGGCCATTGTGAAATATTTGGTGCTGAGTGTAGTCTGGTGAGCTAGCTTGTGCAGCGGATATCTTCAGTCCTTGGAGCTGTGTGTAGATGAAGTTGAGAGAATGGGAATAGGTATCGAGGGGTAAAGAGTTAGGATCCAGAGACACTCCCGCCAGCAAAGACATTCAAATGGTCCAAATGAGGGGTAGAAATGAGCACATTTCATTATCTTGGCAACAAAAATCGCCTTCTCCATGTCCGTTGAGGCCGAGGATGTGACAAACACCTTGATGGCTGCCATTCCTACGTCTCATTGACCGGCTCCATTCTGACATTGCATGGGTCATGGTGCTAACGCCCACAGACGATTCTGGCATCTCCACCCGCCCATATGCCTTGAAATTCAATCCTCATCAAGATGTATTTTTGAGAGGTCCGTTGTTGATTTCGCTATGTATTCAATGAATTCACCGGTCTGTAAGCCGCGGCGATATGTGTACGTAGCGCAGACCGGCTTAAACATGATCAATATTGCTCTAACTTGCTCACCGGGAAACCCGTGCAGGGCCCTCCAGTTCCAAAGTTGGGATTAGCAATGTGCTATGATTGGCTAATTTATTGCTAGTGACGCCCCGGTCCGCGACCCGTTCGCCCTCGTTTTGGAACGACAGGGATAGAGAGACAGATTGAGCACCTTGAGGGAGTTATTGGGGTCGGTCGAGACGTTAAAAGCATCGCGAAGGCTCTGTCTTTGAAGCATCTGGTCCATACTATTGTTCTGGTTCTCATAAATCGGCACACAGCATACACTGACCCGTTAGCCATACTCAAAACTCGTTCAGATTTCACCATGTGCGGCCCAGATACCTGCACCAAGCCCCGGGGCGGCGCTTTAGCCGTTCTCAACCAACCTTGCAGCCACCACAGCCCGACAACACCGAAACAGCAACTTTGCGGAGATCTCGCTTTTCATACGCCTGGTCAACCGGGATGCTCTTTCGCAACCCATGCGCGCATCACAGGCAGTGAAGGTTGCGATTTGCAGTCGTTATCCGAGATGATTGTCGTGATACAGTAAGTACCGCTGACGTGAACGCCGCTGCGATGGATTGAATAGTACTAGGTATTGACAAAGCTCTTCTCAATAGTCAGTCCGGTGACCTCACTCGTAAACTTAAAGATTGCGGCTTGTTCGAACGCTTCGCTTTCTCCGGTGCCTCGATGCTCGAGAACGGTTCCATACTGGAGTTGGCGTTGAAAAGACCAGTCTCGCTCAAAGTCGGCGATGATGGCATCATTGGTCGCAGAGTTTCCGTTTTTCCAGGGACAGAGATGGACCACGCATGCGCCGAGGGCATCGTTGGATTCAACTTTGTCAACGCATTGTGAAAGCAGTAGATCGCATCTGACTTGAGGAGCGTGTTTTAGCATGACATTTGGCGTTTGAGCGAGATTGGCATTCGATATTTATTCATGATTATAGTCTGCGGACTACCTTCGACTTGGAATCTAGAGCACCATTATCTAAGTCCGTTTGCAAAATGAGCGCATCGATAAGTATACTTGATTGGTGAAGTTCATGCACTCTTTTTCTTAGGGCACTTGAACATCCATTCATGAGACATACGACAAACCTATCTGCGTTTTGACATTACTCGCACAATCACCTCAATTCTCCCAATTTCATGTGCCTACCTACCCACCTTCAACGGAACATCCTCGCGCCTGTAAACGCGAATGCAGTTGGCCATCATGAGGATCAACGCAATATGGAACCTGAAGAGCTCTTCCGCGAGTCTGCGAGGCCTTGTTAGCGTTGGTTTCTTGCCAATGAGTTTTGAAATAGTGCCGACTGTTTCGTTTCGGCATTGAAATAGCGACATTCTTGTGAAGTAAGACGTACGTGGCAACATAAACCGAGCATCCTATTCCATGAGACCGGCCATTACGAAATGACCAGGCTGCTTCTGAGGCTCTATTTATACTTTATTCACACGATATCTTCATGGGGGCATCTAAAGCTAAATCCTACCATACCCGTGTGCTATTCAACTTGATCTCTCTCTTCATGATGATGATCCATAGTCTGATTAATGTTTCATCCACACGGGACCAAAGAACGCCGACGCTGTGTCTTCAACATGCACCAGTATGTTGAGGAACACAATCTCGCAACCGAGAGCTATGTCAAAGGACTGGTTGGAAAGGCATTTTGTCATATCTTCACCCACTTTCGGTGAAAGGAGAGCCCGATAACCTATGACATACGGTGGTAGCTTCCTAAGCCCTCAAGCTCTTTCAGGACCATGAGTAGATGAGTGAGTAAGTACTACCGGTACTTCACATGATGAAATAACTGGGAAGGATATAAATACCCCAGATCCTCCAGCAGGAATTCTCTAAGATTTGGAACTGCATGTAGTATCGGCAGTCAGGACGACCTACGCGGTGTTGTTGACGGCATGGGATACGGCTACGACGACGGAGTCAATACCCAATTGAAGTGATATTACTGACAGAATGCATCATCTGTGGTGAACAATGATCGCCAAGAGAAGATTATTGGAGGAAGACTCTGGCAATGGATACCTGCACGTATTGGCGAGGTATCGTGACATCATGCGACAAAGCCATATCATGTTCCACATGCTTCATTACCTAAGCGGCCTGCTTACTTTATGCTTTTGGGATAGCTAATAGTATTAGATTGCAAGAGGCATCGAAAGGCCTTGCGACATTCCGTGTGCTAACATATAGCTGTCGAAACGAGTACGATGCGAGGTGACGATCAATACGAGGTACGAAAACGGGATGCAAAATCCCCTCGTATTTCGCCTAGCACAATTGTTCGGCGAACCACCGGAACAAAAAATAAGCCTTTGCCACAAACGATCTTGTTAGTAAAGGTGTATGGAATCTTGTAGCACGCTTCTCCAGAGTCGATGATAGCGTTTGGCAATTATGTCGCCGGCGTTCGGCGTCTCCACTTCAGGTCGAAGAATGCAAATGGAAACCCAGATGGTGATGGGCGAAAATTATTTTCCTCGATGATTCTGCCAAGCCAATCCAGCACTGCTGAGCTAATGTGAGACCCGAAGTCTCTGGTAGGGTGTACTAAGTCAAAGCCGAAGGTATTCAGCCTTTAACAGAAGGTTTCCACGGAGTAGTCCCAGCCCTAAGGTTAGTCTCTGCTATTCTTGGTTCTCGGGGAGCAACGTAGCATGGCTTGACTCGTGGGGAGGCAAAATCAATGGTTGGGCAGAGCTCCACGGTTAGCATTTTCTTTCCCTCGGTTTAACGACCCGGGCTAAGAGGTTGGCGGACAGCGGAGCCGGATTGATCGGCCGTTCGGCAGCAACCGACTAACCCGGTCTTGGTCAAAGACAAGAGGGTCTCTGGTGGGCTGATTGGCACGCTTCCTCGCCGTGTCCCAAGCTGGAAGCCAGGGTCTATTTTCATCATGCTTCTGACGTCAAACAAACTCTGTCTTCAAAGAGCCTCTTCCCGTTCTGGTGAGGTTCGGCCTTATTGGGAACTAAAAGACAGCCCAATGGTCTGTTAGGCCCCTGCCACAAATATGGGGTCCTCCAGACGCTAGCTGAGCCATGAGATCATGAGGCCCGTGGAGATATCGAGCTGTCAACCTTAACGGGTTAGTTGCCGGGGCGAACGGCTAAGGCGAGGTGGGTTGCTAGTCAATACGAACAACTTTGAACATTTCTCCCGCCCTTTCGGCTCCACAGACGAGCCTCTCGCACACAGACGAACACGAGATGTTGAAGTTTCTCGCCAAAAGAGAGGCGAAGAGATTGACTCTGAGAAATCTTACGATGTCTCGAGTAACATATATAAGCATTGCAACATCTCTGGTAAAATGTTGTAATCCTCCTCATCACACTCAGCATCATCAACAAGAACATCAACCTTAGAGACAACTCAGCTACAGCCATCCCTGTCTATAATTAACATCTCCGGCCCTTTACAATCACATACATCTTACCACCAACCAACATGATGAACAAGATCGTCTTCGCTCTGGCTATGGCCTCCGCCGCCGTTGCTGCCCCTCTCAACGCCCGCCAGGACGCCTGTCAGGATGCCTACAAGGCCTGCATTGCCGCCGGTACCCCAGAGGTTGCTTGCTCATGCACTCTGACCGCCTGCGTCGGTGAGGATAACGCTCGCAACCGCGAGTACTGTGCCTCCGCGACGGCCAACCTCCCCAAGCCTACCTCTACCGGCATCCCCGGCGGCTGTAACCCGGCTCATCCCGGATCTTGCCCCTCCTCCTACTTCACCTACACTACTGCCACTGCCACCGCCGCTCCCGCGCCAACCTTCACTTCCATCTCCGGAATCCCGGGTGGCTGCAATCCCGCTCACCCCGGATCCTGCCCTTCGTCCTACTTCACCTACCCGACCCTCACCGCCACCGCGGTCCCCACGCCCGCACCCACCTCCGGATCCGGCGGAAGCGCCCCCGCCTACCCCAACCCCAAGGCAGTCGAGGGCAAGACTTGGACCATTAAGGACATGACCCGTTACTGCGGCGAGAAGAACGACGGCTGCGACTACAACTTCGCCATCGAGGCTGATGGCAAGACTGAGCGCTGCACAGTCATCCGCATGCCCGGCTCTAACGCGGCCACCGAGAGCTGGTCCGACCAGCCCTGCACCTCCGGCTCCAACTTCAAGGTCTCGTGGGGCTACGTTGCCAACCCCGCCCCTGCTTTCGCCGTCGTCACCGTCGTCAACGGCAAGGAGCTTGCTTGGTTCGGTGTCTCTGACATCAACGGCAAGCCTGTCACCACTGCTCCTTCCAGCCCCTTTGGCTCCGGACAGTTCGGCAACCTCGGCCCTGAGCAGGTTTACACCTATTGAGCGGCTTGATTAGATTCGACTCAAAATTTGCATACATCGATTTTAGCGACTATTGATTTGACGATAAGATATACCGAGGCATATGATACGAAGCATAGAGAAGGTACCCAAAACTAGACACTCATTATGATAATGTTGAATATTTCCTGTACATCATACATGTACAAATACACAATCCTTAATTATTTACTCTTGCAAAAGACTTTAGCGTGTAATGTTTCTCCTGTTGTGGTGCACATTGACATGGAATTGCGTAATCGCCCTCGAATGATATTTGCATACAAAATTCACAACTTACTCCCTAGCATTCCACGAGCATAGAGATGCCCTCACTGGATTTGATCCCTAAAGGGCTTGATAAGCTAGACGCATTTCAGGGTACAAATTCATGCAATCTGCCTCTTCTTATCTACTAAGTAAACGTGTCAACTGAGATTGCGGGCTCGCCGTGGTAGAAAAATAGCCGGCGGACGTTTTGGATTTGCTTGAAAACCTTAATAGAGTGTGTAATCCACTAGACGTTTGCACATAACCCATTCAGCTTATCAAACCAGAGACTGCACAGACTCATTATACTGAGTCAAGAAGCTTTCACAGGTAATTGTATGTTTAAGGAGTAGGAAAAGGGGGAGATTGAGGCGTGATAAAAAGCCAGTGACGCGCCGAAAATTCAACCTGCTCTGATCGTACCCAACTTTGGCAACGAATTCGCGAACACCCCCAGGCCCCAAGACATCTGCAACAAACAACGGGATCGTAATCACACCGAGACACTCAATCGAACAGCAACATTCGGCCGCTTTAGCAAACATGAAGTTCATTACGGCAATCTCCTTCCTCTTTGCTGCAGTCGTGTCCGCCCAGTCCTGCGTCGGCGACGAGCTCCAAGTCTGTGAAGGCAACAGGATCAAGTTCTGTAACCTTGCAAGAAACAATGTCTTCGATGTGAGTAATCTCATTCTAAAGATGCCACATAACAGAGACTGACCTTGTCTCTAGTACATGGACTGCGGCAGGCAGAAGTGTCACAACGTCAGTGGAGGAGCAAACTGTCAATAACCTGGGCGTGGCACTGAGCTGGCAGAGAGATATGTTGAATGAAATGACGGCCTCATATATAGAGATACTGGGATAGAACTCATTTATTTGGGTCAAGGTCTGATCTGGGCACATCATAAAGCACGGAATAGTGATTGTGAACTTTCCCGCTCCCGGCGTTGTGTGAATGCCAAATCATCATCAGTGATTCCGTCAGGGCCTCCGGGTGACTCACTACCAATTGCACACTCTTAACTCCTCTTTAGATGAAACACGTTCCCAAATCAAGAGTTAACGTGATATCGTCGCAGAAATCGTGCCAGCCATGTCACGTATACAACGACGACAGCAACGACTAGGTTGAAATTTCTTGAAATTGAGAAAGATGCATGGCCAAGTAAGCCACCACCTACATCCACTTAGCTTCCAAGTCCTGAGTTACTGATGAGACTTGTAGAATCATTCTTTACTAGTAAAAAAGTGTACGATGTTCATACTCGGTCACGGCACCTTACCTTAACTACCTACTTAGGCTGAATATTGATGGATGCCGGGGACCAGGTTTGATTTCTGAAATTGAGTTCTTGGCCCCGACTCGCACTTTACATAGCTAGTCCATTGTCATGTTCATCTTGATCCAACCTTCGTGCCGTTGTTCGGAAGTTTAGCCCTCAGCAACGCAAAAGGACGCTGTCTTGAGTCTGTCCCGGGATAGACCGCCGGGCCGAATGCCAGCTGATTGTTTGTGAAGTAGATGTATCCATCCGTGGCAACAGAGAACTTGAATCCCACCTCAGTCAACTGGATGTGTCCATGATGAAACTCAGAAGCAGGTAAGACTTACCGTGTCAGCCCAGTTGATTCTTGGATCTCGTAAGAATACCTGATCAGTCCCATTCTCAGGGTTGAAGAAGTTGATTGCGTTTTGCTCGAAATTCCCGTGGTAAATGAATCCATTCGTGTCTGTCTCAAAGCCGTCAGAAAGACCCCTCTGACTCTCCGTCACAACAGCTGCTTGAGCTCGTATCTCTGATGTTAGGCCGTTGTCCCGTAGACGTTCTGTGGGGATGCTGTACAGGTATCGGTTGCCAACGCCACCAAAGTATAACGTCTTGCCATCTTTGCCGAGAGCGATACCATCAGCACCAAAGGTCAAATGACCGGCTCGGTTGCCTGCCTGATTCGCGTAGAGCTCACGGCCCCAGACAAATGCGAGGAATTGCCGGTCGCCTTGCACATAAGGACTTCCGTCAAGGTGCCTCCATGATTCACCAGATCCGAGATCGACGATGATCAATCCTGTCCGGCCCTCGCTCGAAGAGTCCGTGATGTAGGCAACACCTTCCCCGCTGCTGGTTAAACTAGGATCGAGGTCAAATCGAACGTCATTCAGGTATGTATCCGGGTATGCGACGGTGTTGGGAAAGACAATGGTCTTGATGACCGAATTTGTTGTCAAGTTGACACCGACTAGCTTTGCGCCACCGACGCTGGCAGGGACGAGGACGCCCTGAGGTGTCAAGACCCTCCCAGTATCCAAAATCCAAAGACGATCCGCACTGTCGATGACCACGCTTTGAACACCAATCAGGTAGTTCTGGAAGTTTGCGCCCGTCGGAGGAGTAGTGGTGAAGTTGATTGCGCCGCCAGGTGGATTGTTGAACTCGGCACTTGGGTATGGCTTTTCGCTGTTGTCATCAAAGAGCTCGGCAACCGTGTACTTTCCGTTGGTTCCATCATTTGTGTTGTTTGGGTCCAGACCACCGGGGTAGTTTGAGAATTTTCGTCCAGTCGACGATACAGCAATGCCTATTCAAGCAGATGAGCGTCATGCGCGATTTTTATTGATTCTGTGACATTACCCGTGGGCCACTGGTCATTGTACAGATGAACGACTTCGAGGGACGGACCACTCCGTCCAGAGTCAAAGATGAGGTCCTGTGCCTTCGCTGGATGGAGGCCAGCCACAGTTGCGACCAATACCCACTTGAGAGAAACCATGACTGATAAAAGCTTGAACTAAACTTGCTACAATTCTCAAGTGAGAGCTCACGGAGCATAACGCCTCTTGGGGCATTCAATGAACGTGACTATTGCTTATATGCCCTCCCTCACCTCGGAGAAATCTTGCTGCGTTCGATCCATGACGCATGCATCCACGTCTGTTCACATCACCTTGAGGATTGCAAAGCGCCCAATTTCAGCGTGAGTGGTCAATTTCCTCATTCCTCGCCTCGCAATTCTCCAGAGTTCGCATGCGGACGGACACTCGCTTAATTGCCTGTATTTAGTCGCTAACCACCACTGCCGTGGCACTAATTATTGGTGCTACCACTCCATGAGCTCATCCTGCGGGGAACCTAGGAATTCAGTATCCCAAATCGGCGGGTGAAGACCGTGTCCTAAGATTTACAGGTATTGGATGCCCATTGGAAATTGTGTTTGCTGCCTGCTTCATGTGGACTATGACGAGAAAGGGTCGTCCGCGAAACTGAGAGGAATTGTTAGAGGAAAGTTCAAAGGCCCTATTTGTCCAGTAGGTCGATGTTCTTACAATGTGTTACCGAAACCATCATCGCACACTAAGCGTCCCTGAACGGGACTGCACTGAGCACCATCAAGTACAATTCTGCCTCCACTAACATCCTTGGCCGGAACGCTTTTGGCCGGTGCAGCAATGGCAGATGCCACGAAGCTGGTGAGAGCGACGATGATGAGGGAGAACTTCATCTTGAATACGATGCTTGGAGAGCTTCAAGAATTCTCGGGTCGAATGAGCGTGATGCGATGTGTGCTTAGATCTGGCCAGCCAGGAGTGATTAAATGTTGTTATTCGTGAAATGAAAAGCCCGCTGGCAGGTTGTGACGAGATAAGATTTCAGAGATGGAAAGTTCATTGCGCTTTTAATATGACTTTGTGCAATTCAAGCTTAAAAGGGGCGATCAATTCTTTTGGTCGAGATGAGACGATGTCAGGGTACAGTTGAGACGAACACCCCGGTCACATCCCACTCGGCTGTCAATACGAGCACATCGCGAGTATCAAACCTTCCCCCTTGTGTTCCACCGTCAACCAACAACATTGTCTCACGCTACCCCACACGCCTCAGGAGTGATGTTTCGGCCTTGAATTTCCCTACTTGAGAAAGTGAAGCACCAACTTTTTGTATCCCTCTATGCTTTCAATCAACTCCGGCACACGGATGAACTCGTCGGGCCCGTGAGCTACCAGGATCGACCCTGGCCCGTACAGCACCCTGTTGTCGCAGTACTCCGCCTTGAGTCGAGGTACGTCAGTCCCGAAAGCCACGGGAGCCGCATCGAAGCCCTCAATCTCCCATTGCAGCAGCGCTTCAGGGTACTCAAAAACAAACTTCAACTCCACGTCCGGATGTCGTGAAACGATCTCGGCAACCTTGGTCTTGATGCCGGGCAGGTCGGAGACCATGCGGACCTCGCATAGTGCCTTGGCGGACGGGGCGACAATGTTATGCTTCTCGCCTCCCTCGATAGTTCCGATGTTGAAAGTGGAAGGGCCAAGGAGGTCGGATTCGGGCCAAGTTGCTGCGGAGAGGTCATTCAACACCGCCAGCAACGCAGAAGTTGCGCTTTTGCCAAGGTGGGGGTATCCCGAGTGACTGCATCTTGGCTTTAGTAGAGCTTTTGGATGACTACAGTCTCTCCGCAGTTAAGAAGGGTTGACTTACCAAGCGATGCCATTGGCGATCACTTCAAATGCCACCTGCCCCTTGTGACCCTTTGCAAGTTTGCTCTCGGTCGGTTCAGCAAAGATGCCGGATTCCCACTTTAAGCCCATGTCATTTGCAGCAATCATTCCGTGACCGCCGTTTTCTTCACCGACAACAAACAACAGGGCAATATCTCCCTCCTTCTGTATCTTGCCTCCCTTTCTCAGTTCTTCTGCAGCTAAAATCTGGGCTGCCAACGGGCCAAGGTCATCGGACGAGCCTCTTCCCCGGATGACATCTCCGTCGATTGCCAGCGGAATATGCGGTGGTACAGTGTCCATGTGAGCGGTTAGAAGTACGCGTGTTTTGCGTGAAGAGCCAAGGTACGCGTAGACATTGTGGCGAGATGAGTCTGGTGAAATGGGTATGCGCTCGACGGTGTATCCTAGGGAATAAAGATGCTCTTCTAGGAAGATACCAATGCTTTCTTCAAGTTCGCTGGTACTCACGATTGACATGAGCGACTTCAACAAGTCTACCACGGGATGTTCCATAATAGCAGGCGCCATAGCTTTCAATTGGCTCGAAGTCTGCGTTTTAGAACCGCTTCTGGGCATGTAAATGAGAGGAGCAGAATGCTGCGATGAATGTGGCTGGGACGGATCCCTCTCCGTCAACACAGGTGATGACGGAGTTGTTAAGAGAGACTTCCTCAACCGTGCATTAATACCCCAAATTGTGAGTCACAACCAACCAAGGACCAAATGTGGATCTATCGGCGGGATTGAACCTTTGCCGGGCTTTGGCCAGTTCGGGCCAACATCCGCCTGCTCGGGGTAAGCTCCGCATTGGTTTCCTGGTGCCTAACATCGATGCTGTAGTTATTTGAGTGAATTGATGGAATGGACTCAATGTCAACGACTTTTTTCCTTAAATGTTCGGTGCTACTTCAGTGATTATAAAGTAATTACGTGCACCTGACAAGTGCTTTACGACCCCGGCCGGCCAAAGTTGCAACTGAGTTCTCGTCATAACGTAACTAGAAGAAGTCATTTTCCAAAGGCTTTCGATTTTTCCAACTGCCCGACCTAAAGTCGGCGAATATTTGACTACTGTCGTAAGGGGCCTGGCCTCATCAGTTGTCATTGAAGCTTCCACATGCATTATGACAGAATCTGACCTGTCCAACTGTTGCAACATATAACTGAGAGACAGCAAAAATCCAGAACATGACAAACGTCAAGTTGGCTTGGATCTACTCTGAAACTAAGGTAGCTTACTTTTTGGATGCTATCTGGACAAAGCTCTGCCGATGCTTTAGGTATAACGCCAGCCATCATGGCACACCCTACCTATACGTCAATGGATGGGAATCCTACTTGCACTAACAGCTCGTGGTGTACTAGTACCCTATCACTTTTGTACACCTTATAGCTCCGACAGGGTACCTCAGACCAGGGAGTAGAGCTGATTTCCATTTTAGGATCTCGCAAGGCAGGTGGATTCCTTCTCAATCGTCCCCTTGGTGTAGATCCCCCAATCAACGATGAGGAAATCTCACCGAGCTCTGCTGATGTCAGATCAAATGTCTCCGCCGGGTTAGCGTGGCATTTGGTATTTTTGATAGCTTGCAAAGAAAGGGGATGCTTCAACCTAATAAAACGATGTGCCCTTCCTACCTGCACTTTATAAACCGGAAGCACTTGGGGAACATAATTAGCGACATTTTAGAGTTTCCTCCACAGCATTACGAGAGACTTTTCTCTTCTCCAAATGGCGAACGACGACTCGAAGCCCGTGGGTAGCCACGTCGGGGTTGTCGGCACAGGCGCATTGGGACTTCTCGCGATAAAGAATCTCAAGGAGCAAGACTTACAAGTGACCGCGTTTGAGCAAAATGACCACCTCGGTGGGCTGTGGCACTTCTCACCCAGACCAGATCAAGTCACCGCCCTTCCAATGACATCTTTCAACACGTCGAAACAGATGGTGAGCAAGGCTTGAGTTCTTTTCATCGTCAACGTCTGGTACTAACGCAAATATCAGGCGCATATCACGGATTTCCCCTTCGCGGATGGTAGAATACCTCACCTACGCCGCACGGGTATGATTCTTGCTAATGTTGCCATGTGGTCTCAGATGATGCAACACACCCCACTGCGAAAAGTATTGAACGATACCTCGAAGCTTATGCAAAGGAATTTGATCTTCTGCCTCATATCAAGTTCTCCACCAAAGTCAACAAAGTGGAACGAGATAAAGTCAACGGGAAATGGGTTATTCATACGCATAACACACTCCCAGGCATGGAGACTGGCTTTAAAAAGCATGTGTTCGATCGAGTTGTGCTGGCCACTGGAATCGTCAATACTCCGATGATGCCAGACATCAAAGGCATTGAAAAGTTCGAGGGAGAGGCCAAGCATTCGATTGAATTCAAGGACCCATATAGATACTCGGGCAAAAATGTTTTGCTTGTTGGAATTGGGGCTACAAGCGCTGACACGCAGTCCTTTCTCAAGCAGGCAAATGCTCGCTCAATCACAATCAGTCATCGTCAGCAGTTCTACCTGGTAAGTTGCGGGACTTTTAGATGTGGTTCTAGCCGTAAGGGTATGGTTCTGAACGTGATTGCAGGTCCCAAAAATGATCAAGGGCAACGCTTTTGATCACAGCATGACGCGCCGTGCCCTCACAATCTTCCGGAGTTTAGGTGATTGGTGGCCTAGGGCTTGCGCCATGGTCTTCACAAACGCTTTGGACAGCGCCCGAAGGAAAGCATATCCCTGGCTCAGCAAACATCCGTCGTTCGTGGCTCCCCGGGTCCTCGCAAGCGCAGAGCATCGGATTCCGGTTCTATCAAATGATCTCGCTGAGAACTTGAGGGACGGTATCACTCGTACGGTTCCTGGGGTGAAGGAAGTTACTGGGCCCAAGTCGGTCACTTTCACAGACGGTACAGTTCTAGACGATATTGATGCCATCATCATCTGCACGGGATATGAATACGACTTCTCGGTCATTAAAGGCCCAGGTGACCCTACCGACCCTGCGAAAGCGCCCGATCATTTTGAGCGCATCAACGCAGCTCGATTCAAGGACCCTCATGTCCAATTCGCTCGCTTGTATCGAGGGTTTCTGTCAGAGGAGTACCCTGAATCACTTGCGTTCATCGGCCACTTCTTCATCTTGAAGGCGCCATTTGTGTTCAATGACCTCGTCACGATGGCGCTCGCTAGTCTCTGGACCGGGAAAGTCACTCTTCCCTCTGCCGACGTGATGACACAAGACATCAACAGACACTACGACACCGTTGTGGATATCCTCGGACGCGGGCCGCTACCCCACCTAGGATTTAGGATGTTCGGCAGCGACACTTACACATGGTTGAACAAGGTTGCAGGAACCGGGGTGACGGAGAGGGTTGGCTGTTTCAGTAGGGAGGCCTGGAAGCTTTGGTGGAGCGACCGAAAATTCTACAACTTGCTCATGGACGGTGCGGATTCGCCGGCGGTCTACCGGCTTTTCGACACGGGGCGGGGCCGGAAGGCTTGGCCGGGAGCCCGCGATCAAATTCTGAAGGCTAATAGGGAGGTGAAGGAAATGGGCGAGGAGTGGAGGAAGAAGAACAGCGCGAAATCAAAGTAAACTTGCTGCCCTTTGTGTATTAAGTATTTGACAACGAATCCTTTCATGACATTGGAGTAGGCACTGTCAGTTACAGGTAGCAGTATTCAGTCCAAGGCAAGGCATACTATTTTTCAAGTCTCTTCACGCCCGTTTTCAACTGTACGTACTATGGTTAATGACGAGTGCTGCACGTCGCTGATAGTAAGGTAATAGAAGGTCATTACCCCGAATGTTCCTATACTTTCACGTGAGGGGGAATAGTGGTGGTCATCAGGCGATCGGCTATTCGTGCGCCATGTCAACAAGCATCAATCAATACTCCACTTTCTCCGCGGCACGACATCGAAGAGAGCAATGTCGCCATCACCACTGCGAAACCGGAACAGACAACGCTCTTAATATCTGCTGTCTAGACATAAGAGACTCAACTTCACCAGAGCCAACGAGCTAGCTTGACATTGACTAGTCGAAAATCAGCAGCATCTTCGGATAGCATAGACTTCTTGAGCTTTCAACGGTCACAGGAGACACCTGGCACACCTTGTGTACCACTATGGCCACCGCTACTTTGACCCGTCCAGTACAACCGGACATTCAGTATGCCCCTGACTACCAGAAATTTCAGGCTCGGATCGCGCGCCGAGTTCAGGAGCCTGATCTTCCCAAAAGCCTGCCCGAAGGCCTTCCGCAGAAGTTCACGAGCGATATGGTTTGGGAGGGGGCAACACTAGCCAGCGAGTATAATTGGACGTATTCCCTTACAACGGAACAGCTTGACGAGCTTGAAGCAGCGCTCGTTCACTTCAGAGGTAGGATAGACTGCCTTTCATGTGACTCGCGAGATGGTAACCGATAGCTGATCAATCCACGAAGCGCTAAATCTGCCGCTCGGCCACATCAACCAGGAAAACTTTCCCCTACCCAAGCTTCATCCCGAGCTTCGAAAGCTCTCATACGAGTTGCACAATGGGCACGGATTCTTTGTCATCCGCGGCCTTCGTGTGGATGAGCACACAAGAGAAGATAACATTATCATTTACGCAGGCTTGTCCTCGCACATCGCACCCCAACGAGGTCGCCAGGACAGGCAATATGATGGGAAGGCAGCTGATGTAGTTCTCACTCACATCAAAGACTTGACTCTGACGAAGGACAAGGGCCAAATTGGCAGTCCTGCTTACACTGCGGATAAGCAAGTATTCCATACGGATGCCGGAGACATTGTCTCCCTGTTTGCTCTCTCCACTGCTGCAGAGGGCGGCACAAGCAAATTGGCAAGCATTGCGAGGGTTTACAACGAGATTGCCAGTACGCGTCCTGATCTCATTCATACCCTCACGCAAGACTGGCAATTTGAGGTGTAAGTAATTGCATGATAACCAGAATGGATGAGTGTAACGAGACGAGAATTGGTTATTGATTTGTCTTATTGCTAGTTTCGGCAAGCCTGAGAAGTCCTTCACTTCCCGACCTCTGGTGCACTACCAACCTGCTACTTCAACAACGCCTGAGCGTTTAGCTGTACAATATGCTCGTCGATACTTTGTCGGTTACGGTGCTCTTCCCCGAAGTGAAGAGATTCCACCAATTTCCGAGGCACAAGCGGAAGCACTCGATACTCTTCATTATCTCGGCGAAAAGTTTGCCGTCAATCTGGATTTCCAGAAAGGTGACATTCAGTATGCCAACAACATGGGTATCTTCCATGCTCGGGATGGATTTACCGATACTCAAGAGCAGCAGTAAGTTCATGCATTAACTACTGTTGGATTCGAGAGCATCGTCGTGTTAACAAGTTGTTTCTCACTTGCCATAGACGTCATCTGCTACGACAGTGGTTGCGCGACCCAGAATATGGCTGGGAGACGCCAGGGCCATTGAAAGAAAGATGGGCTCAATTATACGATGGCGTTACTCCAGAGGCTCAGATATTCCCGCTAGAGCCATTCATCCGTAGCGAAGGAAACAAGAGTAAAGGAAGGCCATGAGTCGGTTATCCGTATCATATTCAATGGAGTCTGGAACGAGATTGAGGCACATCTAATAACTCATTCTACACATCAGAAATCACTGGTCTATACATCGAGCTTGACCATGACGCCCACGCTCTTTCCAAAACCTTGGTACTTTTGCAGTGCCGCCTGTGCCTCCGGCTTGGTCCAGGCAGCCTTTGCTTCCTGCCCCAGATGTTAGCAACAAATAATCTGCACCCGTTGCAGTCTGATGGAATGCCTACCTCATCACTGTCCCATCCCAAGATACCCAAGCCAGTTGACTGACCGCCATCGGCACTCTTTCCCCCGAAGTGGACGGTCTGGCCGAGGGCAGCGACTAGGTCCATCCAGGCCTGCTTCGCCTCCTCGTGCTTACTTTCGTCTGCAACATCAATGAAGCAGAACTGAGTGAATGTCTTGGGCTTTTCGCCAGGAAGCGGACCAGTCTCGAACTTCTTGACTCGTGGCTCGCCGCCGGGACTGGCCTTGAACTGCTCTTCACGCTCTTTGATCCACGCCGACTCGGCAAACGCCTTGTCATCTGCCGCAGACTCGAAAGCTGCGAGAATGTTTAGGTACTGCCGAGCAATTTGACTTCAAAGAAGGGTCTCACTTATCGTTTGGAGGAATTTGAAGTCCGTCACGGGTGTTCCGTTCTCATTAATAACATGTCCACCAGCTACTCCAATAACGCCTGGCTGCTTCGCGATGTCTTCCTTGATCTGCGGCCATGCTCCAAGGAACTCATCCTTCTTGTCGGCAGGAATGTTGGGAGTGACGACAACGAGGAAAGGCATTTTGGCTGTTCTTATGTTCTTGGGTTCGGAGCTAGTAGAGACGATGGAATTGTTTCCGCTGTATGTTGTGGCGTTGACCGGTCTACGGTGACGTATTTAACTTTGACTTCGATGAAGTGTTGATTCTGTATTGACTTGAGATCGGTGAATGGATGCGGGCAACACGAGTTTTATATGGCTTTCGAGAGGGGTTCATTCAAAGACCATGCCGAATCAAGACCTTGGTCGGTCAACGATTGACCCCGACACGGAGCGCAACTTGCACACGGAAATCCCGGTGATGCGGCATGACAGAAGCCAGGCGCCGTCAGACGAGTTGCGTCTTAGCAGGCCCCTGGCAAAAGCTGAGAGCCACCAAGACGACGCCGACCGACCCCAGATCATCTAATGTCTAACCCCCTCCCGTCGCGGATGATACCACCGGCAACTAGAGACGGCTTTAAGGGTTCAACAGCTCATTGGGAGCGCCAACTAGGTTGCATGCAGCATGGTGAACAAACCGCGTGTATGCCGTATCGTGAATGCTTCAACCAAGAAAGTGAAACTCAGGCGGAGCCGGGAACCGGGGTTCTGGCCAGTGTGGGGTACTGTCGCTGCCACGGCGGCGGAGGACGGGCCGGCGGGTTTTGACGAGACGGTCTCGGTTTTTCGTCTGATCCGTGATTTATGCCCCCTCCACCAAGCCGAAAGTCTAACTCACTCGGCAACATGCTTGGAGGCCTGCATGAATCCAAGCCGGCAGCCCGGTGGACGCAAAGTTGACTAGGCCAGGTCTAAGAAAAGGGGACCTCATGCAAGTAATAGCTGTCCAAACACCGTGGGCAGAGTACGTTTGTTGCGCGGGGCAGAACCAGAACGCCGACGGTCTTTGTAGAAGCGACTTTTCCTAGCTGAGCGCTTGACTGTATTCAGGCCTAGTGTTCATCTCGTATTGCTATGTATTACGAAGCTGGAAACACCTTGGCAGAATGCGGGGACCAGCACATTGAAGTAGGGAGCTGTGACTGAGTCTGACACATGAGGAAACGTTCCAGAACAGGTACAAACCTTCAGGGGTATATCAATACTTCGGGGAGTTAGCGAAGCAGCCCGTGCTCGTATCCTGACCCTGCAATACTTACCTCGTTGCTGAGGACTTTCCAACGTCTCAGGCTCGCGTGAGATGAGTAGATGCGGGTATAATGGAAAATGGGTGAAGTCATGGCTTCGCGCGTTTACATCAAAGATCAGTAACGACTTAGACATGGCCCAGGGGCTGGAAACAGACTATTCACATGGTCGTGGTAAAGAGTCTGTATTATTTTGGTCCCTTCAATGCATACAATTTCTTCTTCGGTATTAAATCTACGTGATGGGCGTTAGCCGAGATCTAGGTACGGGTTTGACTAGGTTCTTCGGAGTTTCAGGCAAAAGAACATCACCGATTCAAGAAGTAAATGTGTGTTGGAGTCTTGCCCCCTTCTTTGTACTGAGAATTTCCTGCAAGCGGATCTTGGGAATACTGCATATGCACTACTTCGAATCCATGGCTTGACCGGTCACGTTGAAGAAGCGGTGTGAGGTCGTCCAATGACTTGTTCCCGGTCATCACAAAGACAGGCCGATGCATTGTACAGGTCTTCCATCAGTGTTCTAACTGTAGAAGCCGAGCCCGAACTGATGGTTTATTTGTACTATCGACTGCAGAAGCAAGTTAGGACTAAGGTTTCCGATACTATCATGTATCAGCCAAAGGAATGAATGCGTCTTTCGTTCATCCCGTAATTCGCTCGAGGTTGTGTGTGCGTGAGACATGTTGTTGGAAACACACGACTTTTTGTTCGTTGGGTCAGAAACTACCAGTCACGCAGTAACCTAATCTCTTGCTTTATTCCCACCTTTCTAAAGTGTGGAACGCCGTGCACATTACTACCTATAGAATATTCAAGACTGGCCATACACCCCAGATCGCACACGCTTTGCCGACAGTCAAAAAGAAGACATGTCACAAGTTGGGGGCTTGGCATCTAAGAGCAGTCAAATGTTCAGTCTGTTTATTATCTGTGGCTAGACTGACCAAGGGAAGCTTACAAAAAACGTCTTCATACCTGTTGGGCTAAACGTGAATCAACATACTTGTCATGACAGTTGAGGAAGCCTCCACTGTTTGCGTTGAACACAAGAAAACCGCACTTTCATCCCATCATTGTCGAAATCCTCAGAACCGCCAAAACAGTAAGCCTGACAA